AATGTTTTGAAAAGATGTTTTCAAACACTATTTAATCACTATTATTTTAGGGGAGTGTATTCAAGCACACACTTCCTGTTTATAGGACTAAATATAAAATAATGGAAAGGGAATCTAAATTTCAAATGGTGTCCATAGGGTTAGGATTAAATTATCACATCAGAAAAAGTGATTATTGTGGGATAAATTATCAGATGATAATTTATCATCTGATAATTTAACACACAAATTTCCAGTTGATGTCATTTGTTGCTTTGAGTCTTTGCGAAATATTCTTGGAGCTTTTAGTTGCGTTTATCTATGAACCCATTCAATCACTGAATAAATGTTTAGAACAGATAAATGTGTGGATGTGCCAAAACTTTCTCCAGCTGAACAAAAACAAAACTTAAATCATTATTTTTGGACCTAAAGAGGAACGATCTAAAGTCAATGCACAGCTTCAGTTATTACAACTAAAAACTAGCGATCAGGCCCGAAACCTGGGAGTAGTGATGGACTCGGACTTGAACCTCCAGAGCCACATAAAGACAATTACAAAGTCAGCCTTCTATCACCTGAAGAACATCTCCAGGATTAGAGGACTAATGTCTCAGCCAGATCTAGAGAAACTCATCCATGCGTTTATCTTTAGTCGCATTGATTATTGTAACAGCATCTTCACAGGCCTTTCCAACAAATCAATCAAACAGCTGCAACTGATCCAGAATGCTGCTGCTCGTGTTCTCACTAGAACCAGGAAGATAGAGACATAACACCAGTTTTAAAGTCCCTCCACTGGCTCCCTGTAGCTCAAAGAATAGATTTTAAAATACTGTTGTTAGTTTACAAATCACTGAATGGTTTAGCACCACAATACATCAAAGATCTGCTGTTGTTGTATCAACCTTCCAGACCTCTCAGGTCTTCTGGTTCTGGTCTGCTCTGCATCCCCAGAACCAGAACCAAGAGAGGAGAAGCAGCTTTCAGCATCTATGCACCAAAACTTTGGAACAAACTTCCAGACAACTGTAAAACAGCGGAAACCCTGACTGCTTTTAAATCGCAACTAAAAACACACCTGTTTAGAGTTTCATTTGAAATGTAATATGTAACAATGTATTGTCTATTATATGTTGCATGACTTTGTATTCTTGTGTTTATGATGTAAAGCACTTTGAAATGCCTTGCTGAAATGTGCTATACAAATAAAATTTGATTGATTGATTGATTGATTGATGATCAGCTTTATTTGACAATTGTTTTTATCAGACAATAAAAAAAAATTCTTGAATCCTGTAGCTTTTGTAACTGGTGGCTGGAAGAACCAGATGACAGCTGCACGGCCCGCATTGCTTCTTTGACACCATTAATATACAGCATCTGATAATCCTGAATCACAATATAAGAATTATGTCAGAAAAAAGAAGTTATTTCCTTGTAGTAGGAGGTTTTCCCTTTGTAGTTTCTTGATTTCTTTGTCCTTCTTTACTATTGTTTATTTCAACTTTCTAATATGATCCTCAAACTTTAATCTGAGATTTATCATCTGTCTGATAGTGTGAACAAAAACAAAACAACGATAATATGATTCAAGCACCAAATGGGAAAAACATACGTACACATATGTGCAATACATATGCAGTGTCTGTGGATAAATCAGAAAATCTTGGTGTTTGCGTTTTGTACTTTGTTAGAAAAATTTGACCGACTGTTCGGAGATTTGTTGTTCCTCGCTCTCTTGGTGCAGAAGGGATTTCAATCACAGACTGTCTGTTCATTGGAGTAGGAGTCCTCTTCTGACGTATTTGTAATCTGAACCATCATTGGATTAGAAAACAGAAAAATGCAAGGTATACCATGAAGAGTCATCTAAAAACAAAAGTAATTTCCACAAAATCATAAGGTTTTTCTGTTACACACTCTCCCCACTCCTCCATTCGAGACCACCAAGCTCACGCTGTTGCTAACGTTTGCTCAACAGCAGCGTGACTTCTGTGTGCTCTGCATTTTGCAGCTCGGCAGCCATTAACTCGTCTCGTACCTGAGTGTTCCTGTTTTGTACATTGTCAGGAAAATTTGACAGACTCTTTGGAGATTTGTTGTTTGTTCCTGGCTATTTTGGTGCAGAGGAATTTCTTTAGGCTTCATCCACTCCTCCATCTCCTTATTCTTGTGTCTGTGTTTGTATAGGATGTCAGCACCTTACATGGTCCGAACGATCACAACTGTCTCTTCATTAGCATTGGGGTTCTCTTCTGAAATATTCATAGCCTGAGCCATGATTGGATTAGAAAGCAGAAAAACATAAGGTATACCATTAAGAGTAATTTAAAAATATATACATAGTTATTTCCACTGAACCGTAAAGTCTTAATGTTGCTCTCCCTCCTCATACCTCCATTAGAGAGCAAAGAGCAATCAGCTCACTCTGTTGCTGAGTTATGGGTCGCTCAACAGCAGCCAGCTCTGTGCAGTGCACTTGTTGTGCCAAGTGGCCGTTAACTCGTTGATTTGTCTCTGCAGCAGTTGAGGGACCTAACCACTATGTGAACTCTTCGCTAAGTCCTGAAGTGCTACAGTTTGCAAATTGTGAGGGATATCGACCTTGATTTATTTAGGATCTGGTAAGGAGAGGGAATGGGAAGAAATGCAGCAAATGGTCCGAGACTAGAAACTGAACCCAGGACGTTTGCATTGAGTCTCTATACATGGTACCCTTGCTCTACCAATAATAATGACATAAAAGGGAGTGGGGATGAGTAACACAACAGTGGGTATTACACTACTGTAAATGCTGGGAGGGAGAGAAGCTATCGTTAGAGAAAGGATGATGCAGGAGGGGCACAATACGGGATATTTCCAGGAGAATACTAGTATCTTTTATTTTAAAATACAGGCCATTTTTGCAACAAAAATGGCCTGTATTTTAGACCTGTTACAATACAAAGGCTTCAACATGTGCTTGAAGTGAAAGATGTAATTCAAGAACTTAAAAGTCAGTGCTATGAAATGCCCGACTCTATGCCCCCTGTCTATCCTTTCATACATTATCTGCTTATCCTTGAAGTGTGCAGGATACTTGTGCCTTTTTATACAACGTCATTAAATGTCTGTAGGTTCAGTCGTGCATGGATCCTATTTCTTCAGTCCTGTGTCTTTCCTTTTAGTTTGTGTTGGTGTTTTGATCATTTTTCTTTATGTTTTTGTCATACTCAGTTCACTTCCTGTTGTTCATTATTGTCATCATTGCGTTTCTGTTTTAGTTTATTTCTTTGCGTTGAGCCAATTCTTGTGTCTTTCAGTGACACACAGTGAGGTTCATAACTGGTGAGGCACTAACTTCTCTGGAATTGGATTCACTAAATCCAAAATAAAGGCTTTGTGTTTTGACCTTATTTGAAACATTTAGTTTGTTTACCATTTAAATATGAATCAGTCAGTTGCATACTCTTCAACAATATCAAACCCAAGAGCAATAAAATAATATTTAATGTAAAATGTGTTTTTTTGGCTTAGCTCTCTTTGTTATGAATAAAGTTGAAAATTGTGTATGAACTTACCTGTATTTATATGAAGCCTGCACTCTTAAACATCTCCATCACAAAAAATTTATTTCATGGTTTTACTTCATATTTTAAACATTTTAATGAAGATCACCAAGCAGGAGAGTCATCCTGAAACATTTGTATTCTTGTTGTAAATTTTAGGGTTTTTTTATGTGTATATGAAAAGCATCTGTGGCCCATTTGGGCTCAGCACTGCCCCCTATCAATGAAGCATGGCACTTTCACCCTCATGTACGTCAACATGTACAGCATATGTGTAATCCATAAATATAGTGATTTTTCAGGATTCTTGTGTGTTGGGTGTTTTTATTCCTCTTTAGTTAGAGATCCATATATCCCAGAGAGCCAAAATCTACAGATTTCATCCTCAAAGTTTTGTCCCCTCTGAATCCTTACAAAACGCCAGGATCTCTAAGCTCACTTCTTGATAACAGTTCTTTGAGCACACTGGATCCAATGTCCAAATCTCCTTTCCTCACTATATAATCTGTGTTTCCCATTGCTTATCGCTACTTCCACTGTCAAGCAGTCCATGCCCCATTTCCAGCTTTTCCTATAATCCCTTTTGTTCCCTTTGGTAGTTTGTTATTAAGACTTTGCTCATTTTCTTCACTGTCAGTATATTTCTGTTAGTTACAATGCTTTCTGACATACAACTAATAAAAAACATTTAAGATTATCAGATAAAGAAAAATATTTTTATTTTTAATACATATACATACTTTTAATACATTTTGATACATTGTCTGTATTTTAACATAGACATTTTAATGTCTGCATTAAATGAAAAGCATGTTTAGTACTTGCTTCTCAGAAGAGATTAAGAATATATGACATTAGAATATATACTTTCTTCAGTCTCCAGCTCTCTCTTTTTTGTCGTCTCTGTGAAGAAATGCATGGCAGCATAGGTCACATGGTCTCCATCTTCTGTCTGAGAGGAAGCATAATATTTAATCAAAATATAAATTTTAATAATTTTGTTATATCCAGTTGTGTTTTTATATTTCAATTTTACAAACTAAGCAGACAATTAGGTGTGTTCACTCACCATATCATCTGGTTGATTCATGTCATTGTGTTGTGCTTTTGATGAGATTTCTAAACACATGTTTCAAAAAGCCATTTGCTTCTGAAAATATTCTAATTGTTAGATTTTTTTTAATTTGATCAATACTTACCTCTCAAGTTTGTGCATGGTGTTCTTTGAGTTCGACAACAGATGAAAACAATATTCAGAATCACGGAAATGGCCAGGCAGATTCCTATGATCACCAGCAGCAACATAAACTCAAAACGTGACGCATGAGCTTAAAAACAAAGAGGTAAAGACACGTCACGGTCTCCAAAAAAACAGATGACATCAATAATATACGCTGTTTAGTAGCGTTATGCAAAACAATTCATACCGCTTTCGATTCTTGTTCCATGTCCGAGAAATATCTCCTTGCATGTGGCCACCGCACAATAATAAGTCCCAACATCAGAGGAGTTGATGTTCTTAGAGAAGTTATAGCTGCACTTCTTTTGGGTGTTTGACATGTTCTTACAATTTCTAGGAATTTTTCCATCACTGTAGATGAGATCAGGAGAGTTCTTGTCTGATCCGGTTTTAAACCAAAACACACTGGGATCTCCTGCACAAGTCTCTGTCTCAGTCTGAGAGACAAGTGAACACCGCAGAGTCTCAGAGGTTTCTTTATGATGTAGATCCAAAACAGCTGGCTGCTGAACAACACGGTAGCTTGATGTGGTTTCACTGTTTTCTAAATAAATTAATATATTGGTATGAAATCAGAAGAAGAAAAAAGAACAGTGTGTTACACCTAATATTCAAAAACAAGTGTCGAGTTTATGTTATATATATTGCGATTATTGCATTTTACCTAAAAACCATGTTGTTTTTAAGATTGTGAAAGGATAATACTTTTACTGAAGTGAGCTCTTATGGGTGGAGAGTACTAATAAATACCATTATGGCAAAATATTTCAAAATTTGGTACAAATAAGCTATCGTTTACATTTAAAATTCCATTAATTTTACAAAACAAAAATAAAATTATGATTTACATAATTACCCTTTAATGATAAATAAGTCCCACTCCAAGTAGTTTCAAGCCAATTAATAAAAGCACAGTGGTACATTCCTTCATCTTCTATAGTGGTCTTCAAAATTGTCAAGTTGGCCATTTTGTCATCAGACGTTCTGCTGACCCTTGCAGATGAATATCCTGGTCCATAGATGGGGTTTGTATTCATACGTGTCATTAAAATTAATTTTAGAGTATCTCCTGTAGTTTGTTTGTACCAATGAAGCCAACTGATGCTCTCAGACCCGGTATAAAGACATCTCAAAGTCACAGGTTGACCCAGTTGAACAGTGACAACAGGCGTCAAGGTATCTGCATTAAAAAAAAAAAAAACAATAAGAATAAAGTTTAGCATAAGAAAAACCAAAGGAACAAACTTAGAATAAATGCCTACATTCTTACAGAAAATATGATATTCCAGATCATGTGTCACTTACATCCTTTATGAAGGAAAAAAATAAAAAAGTCATATTCACGGTGTCTTCATTGAAAGATTTGACATTTAAGTGAAAGAGAGATGTTTCGTAATCCACTCTTTCAAAGGCATCTGATTGGCTTTCTTAGAATTAAAAGCACTTCCTGCCACAATGGGGCTCAATGGGGTAAAATGTATTCCGTAAAGAGTAGGTGGGTTTGCCTGCCACTAAAATATCTGATACTATTTTCTTGTTTTTGTTCTTAAAGTTTACCTTTTGGCATTTATTATTGAGCACCAGTTCAATTACATGTTCACACGTTTACTGAATCAAGGCTTTAATCTATGACCTCAAGCAACACATTATGTAAAATTGATCCTCCCTCCTCACAGAAAGTGAATAAAAAAACTCTATAAAAAAAGTAGATGTCAGTTTCATTTTATATTTTATGTTGCAGGTTAATCACCTTCAGATTCTGAATTTAGCATATAAAGTATAGAATCCTGTTTTTCTTTATGTCTTGATATTTTCTTGGACACCCTGTTTTATTTAATGAACATAAATATATCAATGACTAAGTTTTAGATCATAAATATAGAGATTGATTTTGACCTCCAAATAAGAACTGTTAACATTATCAATCCATCAAGAAAGTAATAAAGATTGTAAAGAAAGAAAGTGAATTTTTGACTGCAAACATTCACTCAGTAGCAGCACCAGTGCAACGATCCATAAAAAGCTGCATACACAGTTCACATGCAAGATACAAAACAATAAATTATGTTTCATATTTAGAGGAAAATATACTTACTTCCTTGATGAAGAAGAACATGTATTGTGACCCAAAACAGAAGCATCTTGACACAACTCTGCACTCCTGTGATGCTTAAAAGACTAAAGGAAGTGGGGCAATTTCACATCGATGACGATGAATCTCTGTATTTCCTGCGTTTCTTGCAAAAGTGTTCAAAGTACGGCCTCAGCGAAAGCAATGTTGACTCAAATTCAGAACGCTGAAGATGGAAAAAAGCAACAACTCTGTGACTGAAGGGTCAGACTAACAAAGTGGCAAAATTTCTTAAAATCCACATAAAATTAGAAGAGGGCTTAATAAAACCAAACCAGAAAATTCTGCCAGATTTTTTGTTCTTATACAGGTAATAAGCAGATAAATACAGGCACTGAACATACTAGAAGCATACTTAGGCTTGCAAAAATGTAAACATTTCAGTAATCTTCAGATAAGATTACAACCAGTAATCCTCTATTCCAAGGTCAGTGCTTAAGATGCCATTAAGTAATATTTTGTCTGATTGAAACTCTCAACAGTTTGTAAGTTATTCTCTCCATTTCGGGAATATTTCAGTTTACCCTGAGTTTTCAATTCTGCTTCAAGCTGGTTCTTCCCATTTATTTCTGTGCCATTGTAGTTTAGAGATGATATTCTGCACACCTTGTGTCTAAGCATAGTTTTATTTTGTTTGGTTGGTTGGGTTTTTTTAGTTGCTGCTGTCTTTCTGTCATCTTAATTCTGCCCATTCTCATATGGCCTTCAGCATGAAAAGAAGATTTTCATTTACTCAACTTCTGCTTGCTGGATTGTTTCCTTTTTTTGGACTGTTCTCTGTAAATCTAAACGATTCTTGTGTCAGAAAATTTCAGTTTATTAGCAGTAACCAGATATTCATACAGCATCAACAACCATTCAAAGTTCTTTAAATGTTCTTACTTCCTCAATCTGATGCTTGATCTTCATCCTCACTATTTATAGTTGTTCAGATTGCTACCTTATCATTACTGATTTATTATGTGTGTTTAAAAACCGCTGTTTAAGTATATCTAATAAGATAACGTTATACTTAATGCAATTCTTATTTCTGAAAAGGTTTCAGACACACAAAAAAACAGAAAAACAGTTATGTTAAGTTTCCAACACCACTAATAACCTGAAGCATAGTTTAAGTCATTTTGAGCCTGCTAATATTAAGCATGGGAAAAATTTTAATAAAGGAAATTGTGTAGCCTTTACTATAACTTACACAGGGAAAAATAAATCTGATAACCAGGCTGAGCCTGAATTGTCAATTGTAATACTGGGTAAAGCAAGTGGAATGAACTGGAGGGATTGCATGACTTCTGTGAACAACATCTCTATTATATGTGACTTCTCTCTCTCCTCGAAAAAAATAAACAGACTACACAGTATAACCATCATGCAAACTGAAAGAAATGAATAAAATATAGCCTTTGAATAACTTTGTTTTTCAGAGACATTCATGTCGCCTGTGTCCTTTTCTTGAAAATGATTACAATGTTGTAATTTGGATGATTCTGTGGTTGCATTGGGTTGGTGAACTTCAGGGTATGGTGAGTGTCCTCATGCCACAAAGTTGGGGTTTTAAATGACACAAATAGGCAGGTGGTGAAAAGGTAACTGCCTCAGTGGTAAGAGTAGTTGAAAGTTGTGGGTTCAACTCCGGTTTCTGCCTGTTGCCTTTTGCAAGGCAATTAACCCCAAGTTATCTGCCAATCTGCATAACAATGTATGAATATGAATGCAATTGGATGAATGTGGCTTTTAGTGAACAGTATGACAAGAAAAGCGTTCTATGAATTCAATCGATCAATCGACAAGTAAGCTATCAGACAGCAACTTGGTTTATTTCTAAACTTACCCATAATAGTAAAACCTCATGTGAATATTCAGGAAAAACTGCATTGTGTGAAACTTCAAACATTTCTGACCTCCTACATCTGTTCTATTAAAGTGATAGCAATTATAACAGTTACATTTAAGGTCACAAAATCAAAGGAATATTTTCAAACTAGATAAATTAAAAGTATATCATCAATAGATGGATTGTTTATGTTTTTAATTTGGGATCTTACACAGGAAGAGCTTAAAATGCAGCTTTACAGCATTGCAGCTTTAATGCTGAAGATTGTTTTTCTGTTAATATGTATTGTCAGCTGAGTGCTCTAACTGTGTTTTTATGTGAATTATAAGGCCAGTGACAAAAACCTCTAACATATAACATTTTTGAATAATTGCAATAAACTTATGCAAAAATAAACATGAAATGTTGCATTTTAAAAAAGATATTTTAGCACAACAAAGTCCAGATTTAGTCTTTTTTGTTATGTTTATTTTTTGTCCCCAATTTTCCTGTATAATTTCCCATAACACTGTATTCAATTTTCCAAAAAATAGGTCACAAATAGAAAAGAAAAAAATTATTAAACTATAGTAAAACAATGTATACACACCACACAAATACACACCAAAATTGAGGAGACACAGGTGGAAGAACGATCCAACATTGCCCGACAAAAACAGATGTAAAATTGAGATGAGTATACAAAGAAATCTGAAAAATAAGCCACATTTATATGAATACACTTAGAGCACTTTAATAACCAAAACTGTTTTACAGCTTCTTTTTTTTTGCTTTAATAAAAAGTAACTGTGTAAAATAAGACAACACTGTTTCTTTAATATTTTCATCAAACAACTGTTTCAACATTTTAACAGCACACAGAACAAGAGACTATATAAAAATAGCTCTCTATTTATTTGTTCACTAATATATAGCTCTCAATTTATAATAACATTTATAATAACAAGCTTATTATGAAATGGGTTGATAATGATCATAATAATGTTGTGTTCCATATTAACACAACATTATCATGACTCTAAATGTCACATTAAATTTCTTTATTCTTGTCAAGCAAGCTTAAAACAAATATGTTAAAACATATAACAACATATTAACATGTACATTTTAAAAGCCTGGAAAAAGCTTTCTATGCTATGGTGTATTATTGTAATACATCTTTGATTTGCCCTCAAAATGAATATTTCCAAATAATGTAAATACAGAAAAGTCAAATGTTTTTGTACATATGTTCATTTTACACTGCCCCTTTGATGGATGCTGCCTTTCATGGACAGTTTAATGTTTGAATATGTGCAGTTGTCCGATGTCTCCCTCTTACTCTTCCATCTTGTCGGCTTTCGGGAAGAGAAATTCAGTGCCACATAGTTCGACCCATCCTCTTCACCATCCTCCTAAAATTGATTAGACATTAGAGTTCAGTTTGTTATAGAACATATACAGGTTTTTTTAATACACAAAATTTGTTTTTAATTATTCCAAAGATGCCCATGTTTTTATATAGTCAGTTTACTGAAACAGAAATTATTTTTGTTTCGTGTGATTAGTGATAAGCTGCTGCTGTGATTGCTATATTTTCATCAGTCACCATTTCAGCATATATCACAGCTTGATTTTTTACTCAAACTAATATTTTTATACAAAACTAATGTCCAAAAGAACACCACGTGTTGAACATAACAAATTTAAATGTATTTGCATCTTTATCAGGATTTCTATGTAATCGCATATCGTTTTGTCCACACTACCATTTTTTCCTTCTTCATTTATACAATTTTTGCAAGGGACACCTTGCTAACTGCTTCTATGTGTAGCGATATCTCTTTCTTTCAAGAAGATAAAAATATTGACTGAGCTGTTTCTGCCAATTTGTTTGTCTGTTCTATCTGAATTTCTTTTCTAAACAATTAATGGCAGCTGTGTTGTTTTTGCACATAGAAAAAAAACGTTTTTACCTCATTGCATGGTTGATCCTCATCCAGGTCAGTAAGACTTGTGACTGTTGTATCTGTTAAAGGAACAATACATTAGTTCCAGTAATCTTTTGACCATCAGGTCCCCTATTTTATAAGTGATGAAAAGACAATTAGGTGTGCTGCTAATCTTATATTTACTTTTTACCTTACTTTGTACATGAGAAATCAAAGCTCATCAATCTGTCTTTGTGAAGTGGAAATAAACCTTTACATGCAATGGACTTGAAGGTGACTGGAACACTAAGCTGAGACTTTTAGGTCGACTTACCAGGGCAATAGCCTGGACCTCTGGGGTTTGGGGCTTCCATAGAAAAATGTGTTGGATAGACGTTCACATGCCCAAGATTTAATTGAGTTCATCCAATTAGTCATTTCTATGAGTGAGGTGCCCAATATCTTCTTAAATCTGACCCCAGTGTATATAGCTTAACACATGTGCAAACAATTTAAAGACAATATTATACATACATGAAAAGCCTACCTTTGAGATTTTCACACTGTTGTTTTGGCTTTCTTCTTTGGAAAATCAAAGTGATGTTCACAAGTACAGAACAAGCCAAAAGTCCCCCAAGCAGTACAATAGCATACAGGAACAATTCTTCTAAAATTAAAAACATAAACATTACATGTAATGTAACACTTGTAAGACTGCTTTAGTGACTTTCCTAAATACACTATAGGTATTTAATAAATCATATGCTATGGCATTTTTTCATATGGTCTGTAGTCAATCGCAGTGACTACAAAGCAATTCATTTATCATTTACTTTTAAACGTGTTAGGCATGTGTAAATTAATTGCAAAGATAAAAAAAAGATAAAGATGTACCTAAAACCTTGCTTGTCTCCATTTTGGTTCCTTTTCCAAACATAATCTCTCCACAAGAAGCCACAGCACAGTAGTAAGTCCCAATATCAGAGGACTTTTGTATAGGCAGACGGTATTCACAGCTGGTTCCTGCTTGTTTTCTGCAGTTGTTATCAGTATAGATGAATCCTGGATTCGATTCTGACTCTGCTCTGAACCAGAACACATCATGTTCAGCTGCACACTGGTCTGTGCTTTCTTTTTCTTTTTTATCTGATAGAAGTGAACAATGCAGAGTCACTTCAGTTCCAGGCAAAACTGACTTCACGACTGAAGTTTGATTCACATAGAAATACTTCTTATTTTGAGAATCTGAATTTGAAAAAGCAAAAAGAAAACATTGAAAGATTAATTAACAACGTCTTTTTATTAAACAGAATGAAAACATATATCTTTGTATGAGGATATGAAGATATCTTCACATAAAATTAATATATCTTACCCTTCACGACCAAATTTGTGCCATTAACAAATGTCATTTTGTATGCTGATCCTGTCTGACAAAGATATGTTCCTTCATCCTCTTTGCTGACATTTTTGATGATGAGAAAATATATGTCTTCAACTTTTTTAATTTGGAAACTTGAGTTTGGAAAGTTCTGATCCAGAACCACGTCATCAAATCTGCCTCCAGCAACTGTTTGGAACATATGTCCGTAACTTATCTTATACCAAAAAAACAATCCATTGTCAAACCCACGTACATTACATGTCAGATTCACAGTTTGACTGAGTTCAGCTTCAGTCAGAGGGATTTTGACAGGAATCTGTAGGGTTTGAATCACACCTAAAACAAAGAAATGACACCCATATTAAAAAACAGAACAACAGTAAGAAGTATTCTAAAATAGCATAAAACTCAACAAAAATTTGATACATTTAAGTCATTTTCTTCTTTGAACTCACTCATTGTGGTTAGAAGAATGAAAGCAGCCAATCCTCCAATCATTGTCATTTTGTCACCTTTGTCTTGCCCAACTGATCTCTTTCTACCAAGTTAGAAGATTTTGGTTGTCAACGTTGAGGGCATGAAAATTACTCTGATTGGCTAAAATAAAGAGTGCACACCCCACAAATATGTAAAACAATGACCCATTTTCATATAATCTGCAATAAAACTTTTCATACATGGCTGTAAGGAGGAGTTTAAAACTTAGTTAAATTTTTTGTGGCTTTGTGAAGCAATCAACGCCTATGTTTATAGTCTTTAAGTATTTTATATATATAAATTATGCAAATATTTCCATTTCTTTGCAACTGTTAAGGATGGGCAATATTTTCTTATTATAAAACAAAGAATGAAACCTTGTTTTGACATTAAGATACAATATTTGTTTATTTTTCATCTATTAATGGCATTTAAATGTAAATTTAAAATGTAAATGCCATTAATAGAAATGTGTCCCTTGAACAGAATGACCAAACTTGCTCTTCTCCCCAGATATAACCCATTTTCACATCCTGTCCTGGGCAGCCAGAGGACTGTCTTTGATGAACATGTCTACATTTTCATCGCTTTTCAGGTGACCAGCACACTGAAAAATGTGAAAAAGTGATGTAGATCATACGACATTAAAAATACAAACAAATCGCATTAAGATGGAAATAAACACCAATTGTTCATTTCAGCCCAAAAATGACTTACATAAGCCAATATCAATGTTTATTGTTTCATTTAAGTGTTTCAAGACTTTTTCAGAAATCAAGCTATGGTCTGAGAGGAAAATGGTGCACAAAAAGAGGTCACCTGAATAGGTCACAAGTTGGTAAATCAGACTCGCTGTATCTTGAGTCTGTTCAAGATACAGCGATAAAACTACCATTTTATCGCTGGCAGTTCAAACATGATAAAAATCAAGTCTATGTTTTTGCTTAGATTCTATAAGTCATCACAATACTACATGCTCTACTTTGCACGGATAACGGTATCTGACACAAACAAGATGTTCCACATGCTTGGTTAATGTTTCGCATAAAAAATAAGGTGGAAAATGTCATTTTAAATGAACTGCACTGGTGACATGGTTATTTCTACATATTTATTACGAAATACTGTGCACTGCTGCAATGCAGCTTACAAGGAGCAGATGTTGTTTTTTTCCCCCAACTTGCAAATATGTTCATGTTTACGAGGTTTATCATCAAAAGGCTGCTGCTGTCACACAAATTGTACTTTGACATATAAAAACACAGAAGGTCTTTCTTTAAAAATTACCAAACTGGTAGAAAAAAGTTAATTTCTAACATCAACAAGAAGTATCAGACAAGACCTAAAGAGCTTCCTATTATACAGGCTCAGAAACCAGAAAACAGTTCTTACTGTGAGTGAATGAGATTACCCATTTCTGAAATAAAACAACCACCAAAATAATCTGCTTCCCCTATGACACAGTGTCCAATATATAACAGAAAAAATAATGACACACCTCACAATTGAGAATCTTATAAGTCACATAAATACCATAACAAAACATGAATCAAACCAGTAAAAAAAACTTGGTAACTCTTTCTGTAACAGCAAAATACAACAGACAGGAAAAAACAAGATAGGAAAACATTTATGAACAAAGGACAGAATAACAAAGACCCAATGGTACCAGAAAATCAAATATAAATTGTATGTTTTTTTTTTTTTTTTTTTTAATCAAATAACTGTTACAACTTCCTAGCAGGACACAAAATAAAAAACTGCAATAAAATATAATTTTCTGTTTCTTTTTCCTTCTATTTTCAATTGTCCTTTTTCAATATATATGTGTAATGAAGAGGCCTTCATTACTGGGTTAATTTATTCAATGTATTGTATAGCACTGTAAAAAAACATTTGCACTTTCTCACTATGCACTTTATTTAGCACTGCACTTTTAAAGTAGATCTATAAATTAATAACATTTTGCACACAGGAAGTTTTAACTGTATTTATTGAGTATTTTAGGTATTGGGTTATCGGGTTTGGAAAAATAAAGCCACAAGTGGGGAAGATGGAAGCAATCCAGTCCTTTCCAGTTCCTTCTACAAAGAAGAAGGTGAGAGGATTTCTGGGTTTGGTGGGCTGGTACCGGAAATTCATGCCTTTGTTTGCAGAACGATGAGCTGTCCTGATGCAGCTAACAAGGAATGCAGCCCCCAACAAAGTGTGTTGGACAGAAGACTGTGAGAAGGCATTCAACGATCTCAAACAAGCAGTTTGTACTCATCCAGTTTTACACACACCAGACTTTGCTAAACCATTCATCTTACAGACAGACGCCTCAGGAGTAGGGCTTGGAGCTGTCCTGCAACAAGAGGTGGACGGTGAGAGAAGACCCGTGGTGTTTCTGAGTCGGAAGCTCCTTGACCGAGAGACGAGATATTCGACAGTGGAAAAAGAGTGCTTTTTATTATGTTAATGTGTTATTAATGTTATTATGTTATTGTTAATAACATGTTATTATGTTATTAATTTATTATGTTGGCCACAAAGTGGGCTATCGAGGCCCTCAGGTATTATCTGTTAGGACATCACTTCATCCTGGAGACTTGGCACTGCAGCCATTTGACTTTACAGTTCAGTACAAGCCAGGAAAGTCGAATGTGGTTGCTGACTGTTTATCCAGAGTCTCAGAGGACTGAGATACTGAGCTCCAAAAGAGGAGGGAGGAAATGTAATGAAGAGGCCTTCATTGCTGGGTTAATTTATTCAATGTATTGTACACTGTAAAAAAAAACATTTGCACTTTCTCACTATGCACTTTATTTAGCACTGTACTTTTAAAGTAGATCTATAAATTAATAAAATTTTGCACACAGGAAGTTTTAATTGTATTTATTGAGTATTTTAGGTATTGGTGTGTAGCCTTTGTTCTGGGCTCTGCACAGCTGCTCCTCATTGGCCAGTGGAGGTGGTTGACTGTGAAGAAAGAATAATTGGTACTCAGAGCAACGAGCTATTGGTGGATAAAACTAAGTAAATGATGTGCATAATTTATTAGGTGTGGAATGTGCTAATATAGTGACTCACCTGTCTTTTCTGTGTCCTCTCAGGATGTTTGGACAAATATTGTCCTAAGGGGATGGACAATGATATAGGTACTGGGAGAGACCATTGAGAAGAATGGGAGAGGGGTGTATTGTTTTATGGTGTACTGTTTTATGGTGTTTTAGTAAGGGTAAGGATAAAACATAAAAAATATTTATAAAAAGGAAGTTGATGTGGTTGTAGTAAAATGTATTTTATTCAATTAAGTGGAACAGGGTAAGATGGGATTACCTTATGAATTTTCAGATTGTTTTATCTGTTACAGCTGGGACTATTTAAGATTGCAATTTTCACCTGTGAGACAGATTTTGAGATTTTGAGATATTGAGACATTGAGATTTGTGAGACCAAGAGTGTGACTTATTGTTTGTGATGCTGGGAGGAATAAACCTGCTGTTCCACCTAAACTCTGCTTGATATCATCTATCTGCACTGAAAAATCCAGCCGAAAAAGGCCAACCTGTTACAATATGTATTAAACACATGCAAACTAAAAGGTTAATGGATTACCAAATTAGCTGAACATGGTCTCTATTTTTATTCCCCAAGTCAAGTTTCTTCCTTCTTCATCAAACAGGCATAAAATGAATACGGTAAAACATACGACAACATATAAACACATTTCTGTTCTAAAAGTCTGTAAAAAGCTTTCTATGCTAAGGAAGAACAAAATGCTAATTTAAAACAACATTGCACCGAATATTTTGATCAGCCTTCAAAATCAATATTTACAATTATCATAAGCAACACAGAATTCACATTTTGTTCATTTTATATCATCCCTTTGATGGATGCTGCCTTTCATGGACAGCTTAATGTTTGAATATGTGCAGTCGTTTGATGTCTCCCTCTTCCATCTTACAGGTTTTCGTGAGAAATTTAGCGCCACATAGTTCATCCCTTCCTCTTCACCGTCCTGCTAATATGGGTGAGACATCAGAGTTTAGTCTTGTATACAAAATATATTGTCTTCAATTATTTAAAAAATGCCCAAGTATCTATGTAATGGATACTTTTTTTATGGAACAGAAACAGAAATGCTTTTGGCCTAATCTGGCAATGCAGTGACTGACATCTTTAATGGAGTAATCATAAGACAAGTGATAAGCTGCTGCTGTAGATGCTATATTTTTATCAGTGTCAGTGTTTCATCATGTGTCACAGTCTGTTTTCTTTACACAAAAGTTGTATGCAAAACTAATCTCCAAAAAGAACATCATGTATCGAACAAAATAAAATGGGTTGTAATTCATTTGCTTTTTTTCAGGATTTTAATGCAATCAAGTATCTCACATTGCCCACATTACCATTTCCCTTCTTCATTTATACATTGTTTGCAATTATTTCTGTCCAAAGTGGTGTTTTTTGCATTCTTTTAGTTCAATACAAAACTATTGTTGCCAATAGGTGGAAAGTGCACTCTGCTAGTTTTGCTGAAAGAAAATTAAAAATTATTTTACCATATTGCATGGTTGATCCTCATCCAGCTCAGTAAGACATGTGACTGTTGTGTCTTCTGTTAAAGGAAAAAGACATTAATTGCAGCAATCATCCTTTTTACCATCAGATAAAACCCCTGTCGATATTGGGTGAGATCAATCTTTGTTTCCACATATGTTATGGGAAATCACTTAATTGAGGCGCAAAAGTATTGGACCTCTGCATGATTGAGTAATGTTAGAATATGCACTGACATTTTCTGTTAAGATGTTGCTTATCTGTTACAGAGGCAAACTCAAAGTATAAACATCATTAAATCAAACTGTGTTTTCTTATTTGTTGGACCAGACTTGCAAATGAATCAATATGAACTGAATATGATTGTTATATCTATAATCTGTGATGATTTAAAATGTATCATGTACGAGTCTAAATTGTAACTCGGCAGTTCGGTGCATCCTCAGAAAGTATGAGGCGTTCAGGTGCATGTTATGAGAATCCTCTCTGTAAAATTCTCTATGAATTATGACGTGGTTTATACTTTGCAGATTTAAGGATGTAAATGCTCAAGAGGTAAATCACTAGTTAAATGTTAATTCCTCCTAACAGGAAGTAAATTGGGAGAGGCTTTTGAGAGGAAAAGTGAAGGCCTCTCAGTTAAAGGGAGCGCCTTACATAATGTCATAACTGTGTTATTTAAGACCTTAAAAGTGAAACAAGTAAGCAAAGCTCATCAATCTGTCTGTGTGAAGATGTGAACCTACACTTGGATGGACTTGGATGTGACTGATACAATTAGCCCAGACTTTTGCAACGGCTTACCAATAGCTTTCAAACGCCTGGAGCTCTGTGGGTTTGATTTTTGTACAGTAATATTATGTTTAATTGTAGAAACCAGCCCACAATCTAATTGAATTCATCCAATTAGTCATTTTTATGAGTAATGTGGCCAATACCATTCTAAATGAGGCCGTGATCTACATAGTTTTAGTCATGTACTATTACATAAATAAGATAGTGTTGATATTATACACACGATAAACTTACCTTTTTGACTTTCACGAAGTTCTTTTGGCTTTCTTTTTTGGAAAATCAAAGTGATGTTCACAAGTACAGAACAAGCCAAAAATCCTCCGAGCAGTACAATAGCATACAGGAACAATTCTTCTCCTAAAAATAATAACATGTACTTTACATCTTATGCAACACATGCAATATTATTTTACAGGTTTTCCAGAATCCAATCTTCAGCTTAGATTCAACTTTTATTTTTTAACCAGTGTTTACCATTACTCTGTAGTAGCGAAGTAGAAAATTTATGTTAATCCCGAAATATTTTCATTAGCATTTGGGCTTGGGTTGTTTTCAGAAAACAATACCTGAAACTTGTTTTTTTTAAAGTCACACTATGGTAACTGATTTCACTTTTACAAATCCATTTAATTTACAAGCCAAGAGAAGTATTGCCATACTTCTTGCTCTACATAACATAGTGTCATTTTTTTTAATTTGTGAAAATCTGTGAATTGCACTGGTTGCAAAGCAATTGTGTTTTATTTATTGTAAATACAACATTTCTACTTCTAGAGTCTTCAGGCACATGTAAATTAATTGCAAAGTCAAGAAAAAAGATAAAGATGTACCTAAAACCTTACTTGTCTCCACTTTGGTTCCTTTTCCAAACAGAATCTCTCCACAAGTGACCACTGCACAGTAGTAAGTCCCAATGTCCGAGGAATTTTGTATAGTTTTAGACAGACGGTATTCACAGCTGGTTCCTGCTTGTTTTCTGCAGTTGTTATCAGTATAGATGAATCCTGGATTCGATTTTGACTCTGCTCTGAACCAGAACACATCATGTTCAGCTGCACACTGGTCTGTGCTTTCTTTTTCTTTTTTCTCTGAGTGAAGTGAACACTGTAGAGTCACATTGGTTCCAAGCAAAATCGACTTTATGTCTGACGTTTGTTTCACACGAAAAGACTTTTTATTTTGAGAATCTGAGTTTGAAAAAGCAAATTAAAAATATTTTTTAATAATGTGATTTGATTTGGCATGAATTCAGAAATAGCAAGAAACCAAATATGAAGTGATCTTACCATTCACAATCAAATTTGTGCCATTAATAAATGCCAGGTTGTACGCTGCTCCTGCCTGACATAAATATGTTGCTTCATCATCTTTGTTGACATTTCTGATGACGAGAAAATTTATGTCTCTCTCTTTTCCAGGTTGGAACCTTGAGTTTGGAAAGTTCTCATCAAGCTGTAAGCCACTAAAAGTCCCGCTAACAACTGTTTGGACCATATATCCATAATTTATCTTATACCAGAAAAATAACCCAGTATCATGACCAGATGTATCACATGTCAGATTCACAGTTTGGCCGAGTTCAGCTTCAGTCAGAAGGATTTTGTCAGGAACCTTTACGGCTGCAATCGCAACTAAAACAAAGAAAGAACAAAATTATTAAACCCACAGAATAGCTAAAAGGACACTAACATAATCTGAAAACAAAACAAAATCTTTACACATTTAAATAATTATCTTCTTTGAACTCACTCATTGTTCTGAGCAGAATTAAAGCAGGCAGTCCTCTGAACGTTGCCATTGTATCACTGTTCTCCTGCGTGAAGGACTATTTTCAACTTGGGTGGAAGATTGAGTTTATCAACGTCAACAAGACTGAAATCACGCTGATTGGTTAAAATGCTGAAGACGCACACCCCACAAATCTCATGAAAATGACCCATTTTCATCTTCACTGCAATAAGAAGTAATAACTGTTACACATTACTGTAAGGAAGTACCTCAGACTTGGGTTTTTTTGTTGTTTGTTTTTCTATTTTGTGGTTTTGTAAAACAATTGTGCAAATATAGATTTTAATTTTTTCAAATAAAGATATAATGCCAAAGGTTTGGTCAACTCACCATACACGCAACGTAGGTTTATTTAGTAAATGTTTAGGTTAGAGAAGTCTCCTTTGAACTTGGAAAAGATGCACAATATAAAGAAAGCATTACTTTCACATTACAATACTGTCTGACATTACATTTAATTGCTAGTGGCAAATAGCTTTTTATAGATTTCAGTATCGTGAGCCATGTGTCCTTGTTATGTTACTTTATTTATATGTTTGTGATAAGATAAAATAACTGTTTTCTTTTTGAAGTTAGAAAAAAACTACTGTATATTTCAAAGTTCAGTCATCAATTTGTAGCGAAGAGAATGACAAAGGTAATACTAAAAGTAACAGTGCCCTCTCTTTAGGTTAACATGTTTACTCAGTGCTATAATTAAAGTAGCTAAATTCTATCCAGAACAGATTTATTATTAAAACTAAACAGAATTTATCCCAATGCTTATAATATAGGAACTTTTCCCTTTATTTTTAGCTGATATTAAAACATTTATCAACAATCTGAAACATTCACAAACACACAATACAGTATGTTAGGTGTGGTCAGGTTGCTATAATGAAAGCTGTTTGGTTTTCAGCGTCGTTCATCCATATTGAAGACACTGTATCACTGTTTGAGCAGAAGAATTTCTATTTCTCATAACTTGACGCTGTAGGGGAATATTACAGGCACAGGTAATGTCAATGAAAAACAGTGAAATGTTTATATTTTTTAACTGAACAATGTTTCAGGGAACAAACAGTGCAGCAAAAGAAAGCAGATGTTGTTGAAGTAGATTCTCTGCTGGAAATCAGGTCTTTTACATTTGGACTTTAGATTTCTTAAGTCATCACAATGTAGCAATTCTCGCCTCAACATTACATAGGTCTCGCAAATATACTGAGTCCAAATGTCTGAAGAGAAACAAAATCAAAACTACATACCACATGTTTGAATATTGTATTACAAAAATAAATAAATGGATAAATAAATAAAGAGGAAATTTTAAGTCAAAATAATCTCTGCTGATGACATGGATATGAATACATATTTAAAATATGTATTCAGTTTAAAAGGGGCAGATATTGTGTTTTTCGCCCAACTTTAATGTGTGTTCATGCCCATTTTAGGTTTATCATAAAAGTAGCTTCATTCATGCAAACCGTACGAGACATTTAAGAACACGGAATGTTTTTCTTTTTCACTTTTTATACTAATCTGATTAAGTAATTAACAGGATGTTTATTTTATTTTTTCTTATCTAAATAATCAGACCATAACTTCATGCTATGGATCTTTCATAGATCCAGCCTCATCAGCTGACACCAGTCATAACAGATATTCTAAAAGAGGATTCTGTTAGAAAACATTTTTTAACTGAATCTGTTACAGATTTGGTTAAAATTCAGTTGTATGTGAAATAGAGTTTCGCTTGCCACCATCAGCTTGTTTGCCGTTGCATGAATGACTGAAGTAGTGTGAAATGCTTTGGGGCTTTTGGACAACAGCCAAATAGATTACAGTATTTTTCTGAGTATGCTCACATAAATGTCATTTTTGATCAGTCATAGAATCACAGTTAGATTTGTTGCTTTACTACTCTTGACACGGCATAGTATGTTTTTATTTTACTTTGTTCTTGAATTTTATTTCTGAATTCTCCTCTGGGATGTAAGTCTACAGTTGCCTTTGGTCCGATTCTTCATAGACGAGTGTCCCAAATACCACTTTTTACTTCTGGTTTCTGCACTGTTGCAAGGTGAACTCATCTACTCACCGACGTTTCTGCCATGCAGAGATAGGTCCAGCCTTCCACTATTCTGAGGATCTATTTACTTTTCTACATGCTATTGATAATGTCGCATCTATCTGCTACAGGTAAGGGAAGCATAGAACCTCATTGCCACAATTCAACAAAACCGAGTAAGACACACAGTTTCATGATATGTTAAGTTATTTTGAGAACTGTAAGAACACTGTTCAAAGTAAGTTGGGTTTTTCCATTTACCAGTGACACAAATTTTAAATAAATCTTGAAAAACTGTTGAACAGAAGCTAAATCTAGCCACCTGAAATGTAGATGCTTGAAACAAATAAACTGCATATTGTCGCCACATTGGGTTACATAAGATACATTTCTTGTTTGCTTTCTAAAAAGTACATCTTCAAAGTGTCAGGTACACTGTGTTGACGAAATGGTGTGCAGAAAGCAAATCAGGTCGACAAACTTGTGCTTTGATGAAAAGCTGCTGTCAGCATGTAAGCCTGTTGGCCTCACCACTTCAGAGCGGGCATGAGGTCCTCTTATCTCTGAATGTGAGCCCTGTTGCTTATGTTGGGCAGACTTCAACAACACATGCAAAGACTGTGCCATGCCGGTAATTTGTAATGGAGCCCCTGCTTAACTCATTTATGAAATGTCCACCACAGGTACACCTTAAATGACAAAACATACTTATAAGATTACCAAAAGCACTCTGGAAAAGGAAATGCAATTCCTGTAGTCAGATGGTTAAATCTCTTGTGTCTGCTAAATACAGCAAAAAATTTTATTATTAGCATTTATGACTGGCAGAATATGTAACAATGCTAATACAATTGTTCTGATTAGCTATACCTTTTCAAGAGATAACTGAGTCATGCACTCAACGGAGAAGTGATACAGCAATCGCTTTCACCACAAATGTCTATTCTGTTGTTACTTAACCACTAACAACCTCCTCTGATAACTATCACACCTCCATCATGGGGGGGTACTCCTCTACAACTGCAACCCACTCTTGGCAAAACGGTAATCAAGCCTGAAAAAAACCACTTCAGATTTGCCTCAGTTGCCACAGTAAAGGATCTGGGGTATTTTCATGGTCTTCAAACTCCCCAAATGTCCCTCTGCAGGAAGCTCCACCCCAAAACTCACACAGTTGAAAAGATATATGAACATCTTCTTTAAAAGACGCTCTCTACATTTATGTCATATGTTCTTTATGAATCGTTTGATGGATGGAAGTTGTTTTGCTGAATGAGAAAGAACGTGACATTATTACTGATTTGTTTAAATCCATGTGCGATTGACTCCCACCAAATTTGTCAACAAATGTTTATTTCAAATAAATACAATTAATACAAAGAAATAAAAACACATGGACGGCTGACTCAGTTGTTGATCTAATGCAGTTGCAGACAAAGAAAATATCACTATGGTTCCGCCTCTGTTCATATTTGAGTCACCCACTGGGGACTTTCTGAAGGTAGGTTGACTGGACTATCAAGTTGATCTTTTCATCTCAATATACTCAAATAGCAACAAAAAAACACAACGTTTAACTGCATTTTGTCTATTGCTATATACTTTCTCTGAACATTGCTGAAAAGGATGCAAAACAGGTCAACGACAAGTAGATTGTGCAGAGGATTGCGCAATTATTGTCTCCATGGTTGCAGATGGAAAATAAATAATGAAAAGGACAGCTCTGGCAAAGAGAATTTGCCGACTTTCTTAGGCAATATCTAAAGAAACAAATATTTTTCAGAGGGACTGCAACAATCATCCACCGTATAACTTTTAAAGTATGAAAGTTTGTAAAAGGTAAAAAAAAAAAAGAGTTTGTTTTTTTTCTCTTTTGTGCTGATCCCAAAACAAGAAAATGTATTTCAGGGGGAAATACTTCATCTTGGGGTGTTTTAATTCAAATGCAAATATGACAATGAAAAAGAATTGTTTGCATGAACCAAGAGTTTGCACTTCACTACCTGTGAAAGAAGAAGCAAAGCCACATGCGGTGGCAGAGCTGCAAGATGTAGGCTGTGGCTGGCCATTTCTATGCGTCTGGCAGACCGCACAACGTGTTTACTCAGAATGTTCAACGGCCTGTGCGTCAACAGGATATGCAGCCAAAGTGCACTAGAAGTTTCGTTGAGCTAAATTTAGCAGAAACTATTTACCTGATGGTATGCATTCCTGGAAAATGATTTTTTTATTGTTAAAATCAATTAAACAAAATATTGACTTAACCTATACGACTACAAAAACTGCAATTACTTTAATATTTATTGACATTTTTAGTAAGCTTAATGAACATGTCAGTCAGTTTTGAGATTGCTCAGTTAAGGCAGGGCGTGTGTGTTCAGAGTGATAGGGGGTTGTCAAATCAACCATGACAATGTGGCAAAACCAGCAGAGGCAGGTAGAGTATCCAAAAATTGGACTCAAGAGTACAACTAATTCAGCATATTTATACGCAAAAAAACAAAACATGAGTACATATGAAATAACTCCAATAAATCAATCAAATAATAGTAAAAAAAAATATTTTATATGGAGGCTACTTATGTAGTCAATAAATGATGATAATGTTTCATTTAATATTAAAAAATCATGTATCAGAAAAACAAAAATATTAAGTAACATCTAAACACTGGTATTTTGGTGATCAAAAAGTTAGCCATGGTGGTCAAGCATCCAAAAGTTTAATTTATGCGAGTGTAGCGTTGCTTCATAATGTCACTGAAGCAAAAGTAAAAAGCCTAGTGTGGTAAATTACTTCTCATAGTATACTTTTTCCAAAAAGTAAAGTAAATTTAACTTTCAATCTCTGAAAACCTGTGACGACAACCCACTCCCAGGTTGTCTGCATTGTCAGGTGAGCATAAGCTCCTTCATCATCAGGTTAGGCTGATTATCCTAAAATGAAGAAAAATCTTGAGGCATTGCTGTAATATGTTTTTCAAAAGATAAATGACATTCAACAGGAAGACTACCTCATAATATTGACCTTCTCATGTGAGTTTAAACAAGAAAACAAAACCGCCATGCATGTGGTGCAGCTGTGTTGCATCAAGCAGGGCTTTGATTTGAATTATCTTCCTGTGAGGTTGCATATTTCACTTATTTATGGTACCAATAGATTTAGGATGGGTTTTTTTTTCTAAACTGACAATGTATGGAAGCCCATTCAGAAAGCCTTGCTTCACCTGTTTAAATGCGAGGGTACGCACTGGTGCACCAATGCACCCGCTTAGACGAGGAGTAAAAAATGGGTGATAGAGTTTCTCAGCTCCATAGCAAATCACATCCCACGTCTGCCTTTGGCTTTGTCTACAAAAGGTCTAAGGGGGTCATTTCAAGATTGAAACTCCTGCCTGAAACTGATCAACAAAATGATTAACAATTCAGCTCTTTGCACCTTTCAAAACATGTGGGTCAGAATAGTGACTAAGCAGCATGTCTAAGTAACGACTGAAGAACAGACCCACAGCTGCATTTACCGCAATGGAAACTTCAGCGTGCAACTGTCATAGCACATGCATTGGGAGTGTTTATTTTAGTACACTCCGGTGCTAAAAAAAACAAAGCAGTACATAAAAGCTGTATTTGTTACGGCTGAAACGTAGACTAAAAAAAAAACCTGATGTGAATTCACACCTCATCTTGACCACACAACCACGCTTATGCTAAATTTTCCGTCATTGCTGTTTGTTTGTCGCCGTGCTGTACCATGACCTGTGTGAAAATGAATTGTCACCATGAATTGTCATCAAGTTAATTTAAGCACGTCCAGCTATTCAGATTATCTTAGTTGTTGCGTTGATTTGTTTGTTTTCTAGCATGAGTTTTAATAAATAAAGGAGATATCAGGATGAAGCTCAAGGTATCTAATTAAAGTCTAAACTAAACACATCAGGTTGCAAATACAGCTGTGGAACATCTTATAGTTTTTAAAGTGATTGGATTCAATCATTTTTTTATGTCTGAATTTAAAATAATCTTTTATATTCTTATCTGTGCCATAAAACAATAATTTAATTATAATTACCAAATTAATTTGGCAATAATAATAATTTTAAAAGAACATCTTCTGGATTGAAACTGCATTGTTGCTGCTGCATTATATTTTGGAGGCCGCTCTGTAAGCCCAATATGCTGAATAAGTGCTGAAAAAACCTTTTGTGCCCCCTAATGGTACATTTTATTCCTTTGATTAACTATTTGAAAAACTGACATCCTTTTGAGTGGTTGCTGTTGCATTTAGTTTTGACGGCCTTGGGCCTAAGAGGCTGAATTAGTGTTCAAAAATCCTTTAGTGCCTCCTGTTGGTAGATTTCATTTGATGGCTCCTGTCACCTTTTTGAAATCGTTTCATCCTTTTTTAGTACTTGGTGTCGCATTAATTTTTGGCGGCCATCCCTCGCGCCAGATGCTGAATTGATGTTCAAAAATCCTTTGGTGCCCCCTGGTGGTAGTTTATTTTTCTAAGTCTGCTGAATTATTCACATCTATTTCAATGGTTGTTTGGTCTGTGCTGAATTGGTGTGATCATTAAGGTTTATTTGAATGTTTTCATTGCTCGTAATTAAAGTTAAATTGTACATCCTTCTTCTAATCAATTTATTGCACACGGTATTAACACAAAAATTTGGACCTTTTCTTGCTTCTCATATTTTTTTGATACAGACTTTGAGTTTGTTTTACTCATAAAACAACACATTATTCTCCATGAATTGGCAGATTTACAGATTAAGCAGCTAACTGATGAGTTTGAAATTGATATTATGGCCCATTTTTACTTTTAATTCAAAGAACAGTACTCCTGTGGACAATCTGAATTTAACTCTGTAAACCAAAATTGTATTAAGCGAACAAAAACACAGGGTAGTGTGAAATAATAGAGGAATGAAAACACACAAACATGCTCAATTACAGTTTTGAAGCCTTGCAGACATCCCTGGCCTAACATTCTCATCAGAAGTTGAAAGGTAGTTTTAAGTTTCTGAAAAGAATGAAAACTCCCACCCAAAAGAACTGTCAATTATCAATGGGTTAAGTAGTAATTTATGCCAATTAGCTAATTTCACATCTGTGCAACCACTGTTATACCTCAGTATAAATGTCAAGAATGCAGATTTTAACTGTGCTTTCAGGTACTTTTGTGGAAAAAAAGGAACAAACATTTTCCTTCCGGTTTTTATTGAAGCTGAAAATATCACTGGTTTGATACCAAAAACAATTACAACATGAAAAAAAGTTGTGCCATATTTTCACCTTGACAGGAATGTTTGCAGTTATCAGAGAACGAGTTCCTGAAGTTTAACATATACAACGGATGCTGTCACTCAATTATCTGGCTGCTGATCATCAAAAGCACATCATTAAAACACTTTCATTCATTTAATACTGTGTGTAGTGAAACCATGCCACCGTTTCTACTGGAAGGCTTTTTTTCTGAATTGACAATCTCTTCTGACTTGCTGGTGTTATTCGGTGAAAAAGTTTGGCTCAGAATGAACATTTTTAAAGCTTCAAATAGAATACTTCAAATAATGGAAAATGTTTTACAAAAGTGTGGTGACTATAGTCTAAGATCATGATTAATGATGTACCTTCACTGTTCTCTTTTTTCCAGTTACACAAATCAGTGCCTTCAAACTCATGTATATCAACAAAATATTTTACAAATAAGTTAAAAAAAAAAAAAGGTTTAATACTTTACATTCAAACTCAGCCCCTGGTTTGGTTTTCAGAGTAATGTGTTTGTTTTTATCTCTAGGATCAAGTTGGACATGTAAGTTAAAGCCCTCTCTTAGACAAGACAAAAAAAAGTAACAGGCTCAAAGTCAATCGAGGAAAGTAAGTAAAGCAGCAAACAGATGTCCTTGATTTGAATCAACTTTTTGCTGAAACATAATAATAATAATTGGGACCACTAATCTCTACTTCACAGATGAGACTCTTCACTGTCTCAAACACTCAGAAAAAGGTGCTAAATCACTTGAAGTTAAAATAATAATACAAAAATCTCTTTTAACTTTCATTAAAAAAGTACACATTCAGTCACAAACTCCAATAGGTCAAAGTCTCACAAATGGCACTTAAAACATAGCTCTATTTGTTTTGCGTGTGTGTTTTTGTTTTTACCTGAAAATTGAGGAATGTTTGCTTTAGACAATTGGGGAAAGAGAATTTTATTTTGATTTCTTCAATTTAATGTAAAAAAAGTGTTTTCTTTATTGCTAATTTAGCCTTGGTTTGTCTTCAGAATGTGCTTATGACGGCAGCATGACAGAAAACTCCCTACAATACCACCAGATTGTAATGACCAGCTATCTCCACAAGGGGGAAACCATGATCACAAACTGCAAGGACAACAAGGGAACAAGGGAGGAAGGGTGCAGATGAGTAGAGGTGGCAGAGGCGTTGATGCGCCCCTGGCCATGGTTTCTGCTCCACTTGGACCCGTTTCTCTCCCGACCTCGCGTAGGCTTTGCTGGATTGGAGACGGGGTTACGTGGGGCTTTGCTGTACGGAGGAGAGTGAGGGCCATAACCTGGCCAATCATCACTGTACCTTTCATCATGATCTCCACCCCCTGAGCCACTGCCCTCCTCACCTGAAGTAATAATAAATAAAAATGCATTCACATTTAATCTGGAGGCAATAAGTAAATATATGCCAGTAAATATGGATGAATGGTATTTCACAACAGATTTCCTGTTCCCTTTAGATTTTTTCACATTTAATGTTACGACATAATACATAACATTTTCTTGAGATTTTATGTGATCAACACAAAATAGTACATAATTGTACAGTGGAAGGCAAAAGTTAAACGGTTTTTAAATGCTTTAACAATTAGGAATCTGAAAAGAGTGAAGTGCTCTTGTATTTCCATTTTGCCCTGATACTCCCCCTTTTCAATGGAGGAAAAAAAATCTACAAAGATCCACTTTATTCACCTAATCTAATAGGCTGGATAAAGAGTTCATTTATAGAGGTGCTGCAGTGACCATGACTCAGTTAAATAATTTGTTCAACTTTGCAGAGGTTCATCTTCCAACAGAACAACACTAAACAAAGCTTCATTCAAGAAGTTTAAATCAAAGGATATTCATGTGTTAGAATGACCCAGTCAAAGTTCAGACCTTAATCTAATTTTGAATCTGTGGAAAGTCTTAAAAATGTCATTGGATGATGTTCATTGATGTTCTTCGTCCATCCTGACTGAATTGAAAATAAGAATGGTCTAAATGAGCAAAGTCTAACAGAAGAAAATGGAGGTTCAATGAGAAATTGAGGGTGGTTACAGCTATTCTTTGTACTGATTTATTGCACAAAATCCCAATAATGTGACAAAAAACATGGAATACTTCAGAAAGGTAAACTCACTGTCTATGAAATTTATATCCTGTCCGCGTTCAGCATGCTTCAGTTTGTTGGTCACCACCTTCAGATCCACGATTAGCTGTTTGACCTTCACATCTGGACGGGCAATGTCCACCTCTACCTCTGGGTTGTTTATTTGGCTGGCGAGTCCGTTGCCTGTAACATCCGGCAGGTACCTGAACACACAAAGTCATTCACATACTTAGCATCCAGAAACCATAAATTTTATGATTTCGAGCAAATTATTTCCTGTCTTAATCACAGCAGTGAAAGAGAAGTTGTTTTAGCTCTCAAAGTCCAGACTGTTGTAACCGCTGCGTCACGAGAAATCACCAGATGACCATGTTTCGTTTGAGACTGAGTCATTGATGTGGCAAATAAGCTTCAATTCACATCAAACTAACATAAAATGTTACAGAAGGACATTGAAGAAGACTTCATTCTCCTCCTCTCACCAATCCAAATGGACTTGTGTCATACCGTGACTTATAATGTCAAACTTGCTATCTTGGCTTTATCTGTGAGCATAAAACCAAGCTTCCTTCAGAAAGCATGTGGGTGACTGGTGGAGGCTAAATAAAATACATTCCCTCACTCTCTCCTTCTCTGTCTATTCCTGAAAGCCTTTCCTACCTTCCCCACATTCATCACCTGCAGTCACTTTCCTCTGATCTGGCTCACCTCCCCCGGGTCTGCCCGTTCCAGCAGCGGTCCTCATTAGTGACGTCGGCAGCCATCCTCTCATCGTTGCAGATGGTGTGTGGGAGGGACACCCAGAAGCCTCGCATGGGCCTCAGTCGCTCCTTCAGCTCAGTAACCTATGTGGAGGTGGAAGGAGACCAGGAATGATTCAGACTTCGTTTTGAAGTTTCCATCTTTGTTCAGCTGGCTGACAGAACCATGTAAGGTCCTGATGGTGGGCAATGTGAAAAGCAGACATAACATTGTTTACTGATTATGCCACACTTCCTTTGTTGGACATATAATTAATACACTAACACATCAATGCTCATCCTTGTCTTATAGATCTGAGAGAGCCCTTCTGTCCTGACAGACCAATATGTTTTCAAAATGTCAACCTTTGTTTGCCCTCGTTTTGATTTATTGAATTTATCTGGAAGTATTTTTGATTTAACATGTTTACAGATAAAGCACATACATTGTACATAGTTTTACTAAATGACCTAACATGCAGTACCTTACGCAAGTATTTACTCAGTGGAATATCTGACTTAACAACTGCAAACATTAATGAATTTTTGGGGGGATTTTATAAGAAGTCAAAACACAAAGATACCTGGTCTTAATTTTTACAAATGACAAAAGCTGAAAAGTAGTGTACATTTGTACTTGGATACGTGGTTTTTCATTTTCCCATCAATTCAACTTCCATATTCCTGCATGATGCTCCCAATGAAATGTTTAACCATGGACTTGTTTTGTCCAGTACCTTCCTTCACATCAACTGAGTTTATCCAAAGTGCACTAAAAATAGAACTTTTTAGTGCACTCTTTCATCGACTTTCTACTTGCAACTATTTTATAAAGTCCAGATTTGCATGACTAAGAATGTCCTGTTGACAGATTTCACACCTTAGCTGTGAATTTTTTTTTTTTTTTTTGGAGCTATTCCAAAGTTACCCTGGACCTCTTGGCTGCTTTCCTGATTAATGCTCTCCTTATCTGGCCTGACAATTTTGCACCATTTTGGTAGGTATAAAGTTTTGCAATTTATGTTTTTCTATGACAGATTGCACGGCGCTTGATGAGGCATTGAAAGGGATGCGGTTTTATAACTTAACAAGACCGGCCTGCTGCATTCTTTCATCTGGTGCTGTTTGTGCTAATGTTCTCTAACAAACCTCTGAGGAGTTCAAAGAGCAGCTGAATTTATAATGAGATGAATTAAATTGTAAACAGGTGGAGTCTTCTTGCTAAGTAGTCAACTTCTTATGGCAGAAGACTATATTGTAATTTATTGGACTAAATGGAACTGAAAAAAAATGGACAAGAATGTTTAGTTTGTATTTACAAAATAATCGAAAACTATGTTTTTTCTTCTAGCTCACACTCGTGTTACTTTGTGTTGGTCTATATATCTATAGCCAATAAAATACATTGATATCTGTGGTTTGAATGTGGCAAAGTATAAAAACTGTTCCAGGTATACAAACTGAAGGCTCCAATTGTTTGAAATACAGTAACAGCAGTGTGACTAGATAATGCAATACAGATTTTAGCATATTAATTAGAGTGCTAAGTCTAGTATTTTGCTTTAAAGTTGCTAATAATGAAAGGGTATAGATGTCCAAAGGATTCTTAGATGCCTACAGCAGGACTAAAGTTACAATTAGACGCTGCTGTCATTTTTTTCATTCACCAGCCGATCCAGGTTGGTTCCTGCAGCTGTGGTGGGTTTCTCCTCGGGGGTGTAGGTGCGAAAGGGCTTCCTGTTCCCTCCTGACTCGCTGGGAGAACGTTTGTTCCTTGCTGGAGATGGATTCCCACAACCTTGGAACACCTACAGGGAAAGATTTATCAGACATATATGCATGTGCAATGAGAAATTTCAGATTTCCTATTGCTACAAGGTCATACATTTCTGTATTCATGCAATTACTACGCAGCTTCCTACATCATTGCAAAAGTTGACTATAAGCTTTTAACACAAGATTCTTCAACCTCCCAACTGAAGTAACTTAATGTTTGAACATCTTAAGAGGAAAAAGTGTGTGGGCTCTCGCACCCAAAAACTGATTTACAAAGCATCAATTTAATCAAGATGCAACATTGATCCTTCAACTACAATCACATACAGCAAATATAAGAAACCAAAATGCTAATTTTTAAGCATGGTGAAACCCAAAAGTGGAGTAGTGAAGCTTTGCAGTTTTATCTGAGAATCAAAACAAAAACACACAAACAAAACAGGTAGTAATGAAACTTATTTCTATAAATTACAAATTTTAGGAGAAAATCTTAAGATATCACAAAAGATGATTGCTTTCTGAAATGAAAACAGAAAATGAGGCTCTCATTTTCTGCTTCTAAATCCCTTTTTTTCGAAATCCATTTGGAAAATTAGACAATTAAACGAGATTAAAGTTGAACCTGGAATACCGAGAACACCGGATAATTATGTTTATGGACTCTGAAAATGTGCACTTGTGTTTTTGTGCAAGAGTTCCATGTATGAATTTGTGGAAAGCAGTAATCACTGCACCTGAGTTTATTAGGAATCAAAGCTCTTTGAGGTCAGGGGTCACAGTATCTCTGCTGGGCGCACTGAGCCCTGTTGGAACTTCCTAAGGCTTTTCTAATAAAATATACACTTTACCCTAAAGCAGAAAAAAATGGATAGTTCCCTTAAAATGTTATCACTACAGTTGACTTTGCAATTCAGTTTGTCATGTTGATGTCATTTCAGATACTAGCTCTGTTTATTTTTGAAACAAAGGAGGACCACTCTTGCTAAAAAGGTCCAGAACCCTTCCCATAAATGACTTCAATTCTATTTTAATTAATTTTTATATGTAATCATTTGTTGAAATATCTCCTTCTTACCTTTCTGGAGATGCTCACACTGTTCTCCTGCATGTGCATAATGGCCTCAGACACTTTTACAGAAATGGAGTCGGCTGCAAGTTCGAAGTTAAATGGCCCCTCCAGCTTCTCAGATACCACATAGAGAGCATCTGGCAGAAAGAGCGGGAAAACGTTTGCATTGAGACACAACACAGTTCAGAATATGTTAACATACACTAAAAATAGGTTTTTCTGTAACTGATATTGTAAGAGCAAATAAATGTTAAGACAAAGGCTTGCTGTGTGTGTATGGAAACCAAATGTACATTTTACTGGCCAAAAGGTTCACTTTACATATCTTTCAGAGACTTTTTATTAAACTGAAATAATACAAAGAGGAGAATATAAAATACAAGGTTGCTGATTGTGAGCGGTGATTCAGAATACCTAAAATGAGTGTGAGTGGTTTTTAGTAAGAATAAGGAATGAAAGCTAATGTATACGTTTGATGAAAGGGGAAAAAAATGCAACAGGACAGATCAGTTGTGACAGACCAGAAAGGCATGAATGATTAATGGAGGAACTTATTAGGGAGAAAAGAAAGTGAAAATAAATGAGTGACAAGGGTGCAATAAAAGACCTCTAGCTCCAGTATAATTATGTTAATGAATTGAAAAGCTGCCGAAAGTAATTTGGCTGCTGACATTTTCTATTGTAAGGACCTTAAGTTGTGAGCGATTTAGCTGAAATCCATAATCTCCCTCACCTAGAAACTAAAATGTAGCTGAGGTCAGACATCAGCAAACCAAACAGTTCAGCAGAGCACAGCTTGCATAATGACATAAATTCATGGAATAAAAACATTATGGCAGCACCAATATACCAAATACTGGAGATCAAAATATAGAAGAATGAGAACTATTGCCTTTAATCAGCTTTCAATCTAAAAGGACACTAATAGTAAAAAAAATACACAATTAAAGCTTTAAAAACACAGTTCTCTAAGCTGCAGTTTACCTAATATGTTGCTATACAATCAATCTGGGGTGTTTGTAATTTCACCCTTTTACTAAAGCTTATATCTAATTTAGTATTTTATTTGGAAATGAAAGAAATCAAGGCTTGGAGCCAATAGAACCTTTCACAGATCTGTCCACTGAACCAAGCTGAATATTGATGAAGGGCTTTGCTCTTTAAATAGTGGTACTGTTTTCCATAGGAGTCACTTGATGCAAAATGGAAAAAAGAACTACGACATTATAAAAATAGGGTTTGATGAAGTTTTCAGAAAATAATGTGCATCTAAAATAAGCAATCTTTTAGCTTGTTTATGACTATTTTTCAAAACAATCCATGGAAATATTATATTAAAAAGAAAAATTAATTTAAATGCAATGATGTAAGTATATGGGTAAAAATTGTAAAAAGCAAAATGACATTGGATCCTGGAAACCTTTTCACAAATATGACCCATTTTTATATTTGTATTGGGAAAATACTAGGACATCATGTTGTGGATTGTTTTTTTATCCATAGATTCACCTATGAAATTGTTCCACTCTGTGTCCAGCTCTGCCTGATTGGCTAAGCATCCCTTCATCACGTTAAGGCACAGCGAGTGGCAGGGCCGGAGAAAGGGCAAGCCTCGACACAGGGGGCAGTACCACTGACGCATAAGGCCACGCACACACTCTGAATCTGCTGTCAACTGGAAAATAGACAGAAAACAACAAAAACACACCATGTCAATAGTGCAAGCTAAAAACAAGGCAGGTTTGCATCCCCAAAGGGAGTCTTGTATCAGAAAACAATTAATAAAAGTCAGTCTTCCCTCATTCAGTAATCAGTTGGCATTTTATTAAGTCTTAATATAACCAAAACTCCTTTAAACTTTTCACTTGTTGAAATATTGACATGTGTTCTTATGATTTAAATTAAACAAAAATAACTAGTTTAAATGTTCTTGAGGGAGCAGACCTTTTTAGTATAAATAGCATTTAAAGAAGCTATTTCAGAAAGTGGCTATTATTACATTTTTTGCCTGATGTTGAGATTAAGATTACTTGTCTTCATTACATAGTGCCACTGCACTTGCCAAGGGAAGAGAAAACTATTCTGGGATTATCACTCACCTTTGTGGCCGTATTTACCATATCCCGACCAAAAGCTAGGCCCTGTGAGAGAGCTCTAGCAGCTATGAAAGCTCTGGACACCTGAAAGCCAAACCAAATATTGTAATCAGAACCCAATTTTTATTTTCTTAAGACGTGTTTCTGATTTTTGGGGGGCTACCAGAACTTCATACACACATGCACAGGCACACACCTGCACTCGAAGTTTGCGAGGAACATCTCCAAACGGCTGTAGCTGCTCAGTGTGTTTGCTGACACACTCCAGGTAGTCATCACTGAACTGATATTGGGGGTTGACCAATGAGAAGACTCGCTCCACAAGTCCGGACCAGAAGTCTGAGAAGACCTCTGTCAGACTCACACTGCCCCCTGAGGACATAAAGGGTAATGGAAAATTGGGAGGAAATACATCTCTAGATGACAAGGTCACCTATAGGGCACATTTTCACAAATGTTTTTTAATTCTTTCCTTTGCAATTAACATCTTAATCTGTGTACTAAAAGTCAACATACATTTGAAGTTATCCACGTACCTTTTTGCTGGGCTACAGACACATAACACAACACTGAAAATAAGGAATATCACATGAAACTAATTTGGTCAGGGAGGCACACTAAATGACTGTAAGCAACTTGTGACTGAAATAACACACTAATTTAGAACTGAATTAGCTCTCCAGGACTTCAAAAGACTGGAACACACTGTTGCTCTCATGGTAATGGAAAAGGAAATCCACCATAATTTAAACAGAGCTCAACATATGATAAATAAATGCTAAAACATGATAAATATTTGTTGCCATAACGCTAGACTATAGTATGGCATGGCATGCTGTCTGCCTGTGAAACTTATCAGTCTCTACAAAGAATGAGTCTGCGATTGTACAATCTGCAGTCGGGGATACGGCCTCAAATTAGCCAAACATGCTGCTTGGCAGACAAAGATGGGTTGACTAAGCAAGGGACAGCCTGCAGATGGACTTGCCAGCAAACGGCTGTCGTGCCAAAACAGGGCGATACGGCACAGAATTAGAAACAGTCTGGCATCTGTGGGAATCCAATTTTCCTCCCTTTCTTTTCCTTTAAATTCCACTCGGCATGCCAGTACTCTTCAAAAAAGATAAATCTGGTTCTTTACTGCTGCCCACAGAGACTGAGGATTTAATAAAACAGCAGTTCAGCAATGAATTATTTCAGACGCTTGGCAGATTGCTCTTACTATCTTTAGTAAGGCTACAGCCAACATTAACATCTCTCTGCTGCCATTTTTTTTAATTACTTCTGAATATATATGAGACTGGGGTCAGGTGGATAGAGAAGGGAATAAACCAACCGGAATAATATCTCCGAAGCTCCACAAACAGCTCCTGGAAGACGTGTGTGTTCTGAGTGAAGAGGCGGCCATAGGTCTTGGTAAACATCTGGTTCATAGACTTCTCGGAAAGTTCTATAAGCTCCCGGAAGAACTCTGCGCAGATATAGAGAGATTAACTGTGATGAGAACCTCATTCAACTTTTATTTTAATACATTATAGTTGTATTTCTGTGTAGGCGGTCCATCACCTCCTCTCCATGTCACAAGATTATCAGCTTACAAGGACATCAGATCCTGAACTGCAGTAAATAACAGCGCGTACTCTATTAAAAATCTGCCTTTAAGACTCATATCCAGTCTCCCACTCCTTAAGCATCTTTATATGACTCAGACATTATATAAAAGTATAAAAAAAGGTGCTAACAGTCCATAGCAGGTAGGAGGAGAAGTGTAAATTCAGCTGGTGAGCAGGCTGAAGCAGAAACCTGCTGAAATGTGAATTCACCACAACGCAGGCTAAATTGTCTTCAGAGCAGAAACTCATTGAAACCGCTTCCAGATGCATAAAGGGGGCTATTAACCAATTTTAATCATGAAGGTCAGTTTACAGGCTGTGGTTATGTGTACTCTGACTAAGACTAGCTAGATAGCACATGTCATAGTGAAGTCATTGTGGTTCATTTGAAATAGTTTAAGTTTACAACAGGAAATCTGCAGTGGAGGTGGAAAAAAGGATTTTCGTTAGCGGTAAGAAAAGGTCCGATCCAAATCGGCTCTGTTTAGTTTGCATGAATTCTGTAAAACCTAAATACATACAGCAACTAAACTGGGATTTGTTTATTGCTTAAGTTCATATGAAGTCCAGATAGTTTTAGTGGAAGAAGAAAATAAATTCTAACTGAGTTTTCTAGTTGCAAAGAAATCCAAAATTTTAGAAAATTATTCGACGATTTATTTTCATAATAATGTTTTCTAAACAAATAAAAACGATCTTTTTTAAAATGTTCTACTTACTTACTAAGAAAGTATTTTTGAAGTGAATTGAATTGGGATGTCCTGTGGGTTTAAGAAGCATTTTTTCTTGATTAAAGGCACAATTAAACTTACTAATCTATTATAAAAGCAGAAGAACCTCATATTACTTAATATTATATTGTATTAGCCTCTCACCATCAAACCGGCGGTGTCTCTGTGTGAAGGTAGTCAAGAGGAATTGGCTGTTGTCTTCAATGGCTTTCGAGAAGTCCCTTTCACTCTGAAGTGATAGAGTCTCCTCCATCTGACTGGAGCAGCAGGTATAGTCCTGAGGACAAAGTCGCAGGTGCTCACCTGCAACAAAAACATCAGCAGGACATCAAGGTTTGAGGACTGATGTACATTTATTTAAGGAAAAATAAAGGTACAACAGAAAATGATGTGTTCCATCTATAATTACATCTTCATTATAATCACTCGCTGGTGTCAGGAAAAAGTCTATTTGTTTACTTTTTATTTAAAGAAAAAAGATGAATGAAATATAAAATTAGATGTTCCTCCTTTCCATCAATAATTTCACCCACATGACCTTGCTGGCGTCAGAAAAAAGTACATTTGTTTAGGGAAAAGGTTGACTCTCCTTGCCATTAAAAGGTTATTTAATAGGGGGAATCTAATTAAAGATAATGCTGTGGAAGGAAATTACAATTTATATGTATGAATTATTCAAATTAAATTTTTCTTTCTTTGTCAACTGAGGTTCAATCATCTTCCTTTAGGTAATAACATGTTCAAACAACAGCTAAGAGGAGGTGGGGATAACACAACGCTCAAAGAGTACAGATCTTTGTTTATGCAGCATAATTACACCTGGCATGAATATTTGGTTGTTAATAAATTGGAAAGTGTCTATCCCAAATCCTCCCTGCCATGACGTGCCTCTGTTGTTTCTTTTGTTCTCTGTGTGTCTCACCATCAGTCCATTCTCATCCCCGTATTTCCATTTCTAAACTGCCTCCCTTCATCCCTCACCCTCTCTCTCTCTCCTGGCCATCTGCTCCCCTGGCCCACGGGACAGCCAGCAGAGACTTAGGCAGTGATAGCCCAACACACAAAAATCAATCAAACCTAAGGTTGCTTTACACCGAGTTGATTTGCCATGAAATAAATGTAATGCAAGAAAACATTTTTACCCACCATTAATTATGAAAAATACCTCAGTGTCTGTGTGGGAGGATTGCCAAGTAGTAATTTATATGTACAAGGCTATACCTTCAAAAAGCAGTCCATGAAGCATTTCCCCCTGTTTTTTTATTTTAATCTAAAAGGCATAGCCTATTTCCTTCTAACCCTCTGCCAAAACTTTATATTATTCCTAAATGTAAATGCTTGTAATCCACATCAGATCTGCATCGTTTCCTGCTGATCACCTCTAGTGAGCAAAGCCTGTATAGGTAGCCTGCGTGCATGAATTTAACTGTGGGCTAGTGCAAAGACTAATTAGGGGCGAGGTTCTTTGTTGCACCGGTGTTGGCAATTTGCTCAGCCCCTTAATCATCCTATTTAAACCGCGCAGAGGGGAGGAAGGGGCGGGTGTGATTTGTTTTAAACAGCATTGCTTTATGTCTCTTGAGGAAAACTCCTCTTCGCGTTTTGATAATATTTTTTTACCCTCTGAGTTTAAAGCCAATGTATAAAACAGTTTTAGTAAAACTGTTTTACACAAATTGTAACTTTATGTGGGTAATTATGAGGCTTAGTCGTGTTGTATACGACTTTCATGAACACAAATTCAACTTTATTCATTCTAAGGCATGCTAGGGAAAGCTGCACCCAAGTTGAGCAAAGCAGGCAGTGGGACTGTTGTCTTACCGGAGATCTGAGTCACAGGCGCGGTGCTGGTGCTGTACCCCTTCTCTGAGTACACCTGCCGGGTGTCAGCACAGCTTCTTCCCGCAGCAGCCGCGGGGCTACGGGTCCCCGACAGGGCAGCGATGGTGCAGAGCCAAACCAGCAGCCGGGTGCCCATCCTCACAGCGGGACTGGAAATTAAATGAAGCAAAGCCCAGTAGGCTGACTGCTGGGTTTATGTAAGACCAGAGTGGATCGCAGAATGAACGACTGATCCGGATAGATGCAGGTAAAAGTATAAAATAGTGACAAGATCCAAAATCATTAGTCCTTTAAAGCAGTCATGATGCTCCTGATCAACATCCGATCTGGATTTTTTTCTTTTTTTCTCTTTACATCACTTGTGTTTCCATGGTGTCCCCCTTTATTTTTCCTTTCCTGTGATACCCGCCGCTGCGCGTAAACACAGGAGAATGAATGAGGAACTCCTTGCGCTTCTTAACCATCATTTGACGCACCACTGCTGTCAAACCCACAGGAATGAACCATGATGAGACCGGAAAAGAATTCCCTTCAAAATAATTGTCCCAATTTTCTAATGTGTTCTAATGTGTTTCTAATATGTTAAAATATCATGAATGATGGCAATAATACAACTAACATAATTACAAAATAAACAATTTTCCTAATTGTTTTTTTTTCACGTAAAACTAAGACTGATACATTAGATAGTGCATACAAGAATGAGTCAAAAATTTCCACTAACAAAACAAAACACTGTTTATTATATATTCTTGACTTTGACAGGTTCAGGAGGTCAAAAATAACACAACAGGCCCTGGGTGCAATATATATGTCGCGTATTAGCATGCACAATAGTTAGTATTTTTATTCAAATATTTTTGGTTTTCATTCAGTGAAGTTACTCAAAGTGAATTGAGTAACCAAGCATTTTACTCAATAGCAGCACTTCATAATGTGAAAACTCAAAAGTAGAAAGCATAGTGTAATAAAATTACTCCTAAAAGTACTTTCACACCTCTGAATTCAATATGCAGTCTTTTGCCACATCATAGCCACAAGCATTTTTTAAGAGATAAAACAATAAAAAGTACAACATCATTTTGGCCTTGTAGAATAACCTGCAAAGACTACAAGTCTTTTTGATTTTGCTACTTAGCAGATTTAAACATCTAATCTTGGATTCGAATTGGATGGAGAGTGTCTGAACAGCAATTTTCAATTCTTGCCATAGATTCTCATTTTATCTAAAGACATTCAAAAGATTATCTTAATACACAATTATGGTTTGATCGTAAACATTACACTATAGCTCTGATTGTATGTTTAGGGTTTGTTTTCCTTCTGGAAGACTTTAATATGTTTTAAGTTTTCTTTCAGGTGAGATCCTCTTTGGCTTCATCCATCTTCCCTATTTTTGATAAGGAAAATCACCTCCAATGTATCCATGGGCCTGCTGTCTCTCTGTTTGATGTGCAGAATAGATTGATTAATGCTGAGATCAAAGTACATGAACATGGACCCATTGAACTTATTAAATGACTTTTACAGCCATTTGGGTTTGATGGATTGTATTCAGGGATTTCTTAGTAAAGTTGGCTGACGGCAATGCAAACCACAATTTTTAAATTTTGTGCATGTTGGTAAGAAAGAGCAAATCCCTTGTGTGTGAAATGCACACACAGGGTTATTGGTTGTATCTTGACAAAATGTGAAAGTTAAAAGCATAAGGTGGTTATTAAAACAAAGCAACTGTGTGCTACAGTTTAACACAACATATTTCTGTAGCTTTACATATTTATTGTTGTATAGCATGTAGCAAGCAGAAATGAACAATAGACGTAATATTTAGAACCGGTTTCGGTTTAATTTTATACGGTTTAAATTTAGATGCCAGTGATTTATTTTGAAATTAAAACCGGAAGCTGCTTTTCAGCGTACTTTATTTGACACGAATATGACTTCAGAACAATGGAAATAGAGAGAGGAGAGGATTCACAGCATCTGAACCACAGACTAAACATAATATCACAATTCAGATGATTAAACAAAGACCCCAAAGTGAATGTAAGGATAGAAGCTACCAAGTTTCCAACAAATTGCTTGTTTAACATATATGACTTTTACTGCTCGCGACCACTAACTGCCATTTCAGACAGACCAATCAGGCTCGAGGATAAGAAAGCGCTGGCCAATCCGCAACGACAATCTGTTCGCGGCGAAATTACTGGCCAGCACAGTAGCGAGAAGAAAAAAGTTATATAAGATTAAGGTATTGTCATATAAATATATTTTTGTAACTTATTCACTTTTACGTCGTGTGTACTTATGAGTACGCGGTCGCAGTCCGCGTTGTGGTTTGTAATGTGTTTTTACAATACTTCTGTTAGCTATTAGCTCCGCTATTAGCTGAATTTTCTGTGGCTAGTTGTAAAAATATACTATATATCATTGGATGTTTGAGGCCGTAGAGGGTTAACCTGACAGTTTATATTGTATGCATTTTTTTCACTTTAAACGCGAAATATTTACTGATTTTGTTATCTCCGATCAATTTCCCGTTTTATATTTAAAAATACGCTATCCAGTGAATCACAATTCGTCGCATTCTCTTTTCAGCTAAAATGGAAACTGGAAGCTCAACTTTCGGCAGGTAAAGAATATAAATGCTTTTGGAAATTTTGATCATTGTTCTTAATAGAATCACCAGTTGTGTTTTATTCTGGTTGAGATGTGTCTTAATTCTCTTTTTGCTAGTCTTGAAGAGCTGGATCTTTCCTCAGAATTTGGTAGTAACCATGAACCTCAGACAAAAGCCAGAAAGCGAAATAAACAGTCACTTCCTGCACCCCAGGTGAATTTTGTAGTAATTAATTCCTAATTAAGTTTATCAGGGAATTGTTTCTACGGTTCCTGTCCTGTCTGGAAAAGTGAATTAGGGATGTCAAGTTTTTTTCCAGGTCTGGATAACTCTGGAAAAGTAAAATTAAATAGTATGGAAACATATTTGTACTTACTCTTTCTGTCCACCCATCAATCCATCATTATTTGGCCATCAAACCTTTCATTTTCTTACAATCTGGGTTGTTTGCATGTTTTGTATTCAAGCTCCAACCCCTAAAAATATGCCTGCCTTATGTCCTGTCAAGTTTTCTGTTTGAAAACTAGCAAAAACAAAAAAAAGAACAAAGAAAAAAAATTACTGAGAAAAAGTAGGTCTTTTCACATTGTGAAAATTGTTTAGGTTTCCTGTTTCAATTTTGATATTTTTAATTTACCCAATGGAGCTATCATTTTCAGTTGTTATTAAAGGTCAAAATTGTGGACTCCTGCTGTTGTAGATGCCTAGAATAGGACACAGTTGCTCCCAGTTGACAACATATTCTTAAATAATTCTCTTTCATGTAAAGCCACCAAAGAGACCCAGGCGTAATGCTGCATTGAGAGCGACATCTAGTACCAGTAGCAGCCCCATCCCGGTCCCTCCTGACCCCTCCCAGCAGCAACCATCACCGTCCCAAGGGACATCCAGAAAGCTGTCCTCTAGACGTGTGACGAGTGAGGAGAGCCAGGGGATCAGCGCGAAGGACATCTATGATGCTGTGTGCTCTGGAAAGAGTGCCATGGTGGTTAGTACGAGGTTGTGAGGAAGCAAAAAGCTCACTGAGGAGGGGGAAGGTAATGATACTGACTACAACATGAAGGGAGGGTGGTGCTAAAGGAGACATATGTAATGGAAAGTGAAACAAGCTGACAAAAAGAGAGGTGATTATGTGCTGTCACTGGCTGACTGATGTGGCCTTAAAGAATTGCCTTTGATAAGCAAAGAGGGAGGGAGAATCTCGTTTGGTCACAGAGTCAATGACTGACAACACTGACCATCCCCGCTATTGTTCTGCTATTGTCTGTTTGGGTTAAAGACTAACAGCTTAGATCCACATAACAAAAGAAAAGGAACTAAATTTGCATAGAACCCAAGTAAACAGTCTGATACATATATGTATAAAGTTACAGTTAAGTAAATAAATGTTACTGAGTGAATGAATCTGAAATCTATGCTGTTGTTGGAAATTAATTCTGTCTAATTTGATGCATGTGCGGCTTCCTGTCGATCCAAAGACGGTGGTGGAGGAGTGGTTGTGCAGCTACAAACAGAGCCGAGAGGAAGGCTTGCTGGTGCTCATCAACTTCATTGTTCAGTCCTGTGGATGCAAAGGTCAGAGGTTAAATGGGAGGCCAGGGAGATGCTTGTTTCCATGTTGGGGGATCACAGTTATAGATATTTTTTTCTCCATTTGCAGCTCAGGTTGTCATCTGTGGTATTGATCTCTGTAACGTTGACAAGATTAGATTTAAGCTAAGGGAACATGAAAATGAATGATCTAAAATGTATCTTCTAGTCAGATTTTATTTAGATTCTAATGTAGACCTTTTTGCTCAGGTGTGGTGAGCAGAGAGATGTATGAAAGTATGGAAAATGCCGAAATTATCAGCAAACTAACAAAGGAGTTCAATGAGGTAAGAAAGAAAACAAATGCTTGGTTTATGAGTTAGATTTTGGCTAAACATCAACAGTAAAACTGTTTATTAATCTTTGCAAGTGTTTTTTTTTCTCCCTTCTCTGTTGGAATTAGGTTTAGAAAATCTAGTCATCTCTCTGTCCCACGAGATTGGGATCCAAAAGATGGCGCACAGCATGTTAGGAAAAAGCTAATTACAGACTAATGTTGATAAATGAACTCATTAATTAGTTAATCATCACTGTTTTTGTCATTAGCAGAATAAACTACAGGCTCCATATTAATATACAAAGCAGATTGCAGAATATTAGATGTTTTATTCGTCTGCAGCTGATTGGTTTGTGGTTTATTCTCGTCTTTGGCCAGGATTCTGTGAACTACCCAGTGATCACCCCCGGCCCCCAGTTTAAGCGTTTCAAAGCTGGTTTGTGCGAGTTTGTTCGGGTCCTGGTCCACTCGTGTCGCAACAGTCTCGTTTACGACGAATTTCTCTTCCCTTCCCTGGTGGCTTTGCTCACCGGTTTGTCTGACTCCCAGGTCAGAGCCTTCAGACACACCAGTACTTTACTAGGTAAGCACACCAGTACATCACAGGTAAAGAAAAGTGGTACCTCACCTGATTCTTACTGTTTTGAATCCATATTCAGTGCCTTACATGTCACTAAACATTTTTACATTAACAAAGTAGCAGACTATAGTGAAGTGTAATTTGGTTTAAATATATATAATCCCCTTTAATTTGATTTGTCTTAATAAAATTCAGTGAAAATAACATAACCTTCAGATCTAGGCAGCCTCATAACTAAATCCATTTGGGAATTTTGGGCATTCACATGCTCTCCATCCACTCTTAATTGAGCTTGAGGTATTTTGTAGCAAAAAACTGGGTAAAAATTTCAAGATGTACCAACCCACCTGGGACTGCAGTGAGGATTCATTTTAAAA